TTGGAAATAGGAAGAGACCTTTGCCAGGCAGACAAGACAAATAAGGAGTTCCGGGCAAAAGGAACAGTGGGTGCAAGAGCGCCCAGGCAGAAACCCAAGAGTGTGGGCTATTTGGTGAATGGGTCTCCGTTCTGGAATTGTAGGGTACATGAGGGTCAACCACAGGCAGATAATGCAGCTGAAGAGGGGGTATGGGGCTGGTGGAAGAGGGTCTCAGAAGCCCTTCTAAAGGGGTGGCATTTTGGAAATTACAGTGAACCCGGGGATGTAAGGGTGTTAGGCAGGTTGGCGATGTGACCACACATGGTGGTCACAACAAGGAGCATGCCCGGAGCCTCTCTTCTTATGTTAGGGCTGCTATTTGCTCCTGCAGAGCAGGGAGCAGCTGCCAACCTGAGGCCCAGGGTTGTAGGCTGGTTTTCTCCTTACAGAGAGATCTGGCTCAAAGCTGAGCCCTGCTCCTCCCCCGGCTATGTGACCTTAAGCAAGCTACTTAACTATCTTTCTGTCATCTGGACCGTGGAGGTAATGCTGTCCCCCTTTAAGGGTTGTGGGACTAAATGAGGTAACGCATGACAAGTGTCTCACAGCTTAGTGCCCGGCAGGCAGTGAGCGCTCAGATAGCAGTAACCTTTTGTCTTATCTCTGGGGTCCTGCTTCTGCCCCCAGCACGGTATCCCAATGCCTGTCTCCCTCCGGGGGAGTTGGTCCTGGGGTCTCGCAGGGGCTTTTGCAGGGGCTGAGCTGGTCAGGGAGGGACAGGGAATATTTCTCAGGTTGCCCGCAATTGGCTTAATTGGGGTTAGGGCAAACACTGAGTTTAAAAAGGCAATTTGGTCTGGATTACAAAAGAAAACGGAAGCATTTTGAAAGGCGTGCGTGTATAATTTTGCCTGGGTGGGAAGAGTTTTCCCATGTGGAAGGACTTTTCCTTTGCATAAAGTTCATGGCGGGGTTCCTGTAAGTCACCAGTTCCTCCTAGGGCTCTCACTCAGGAGTCAGTTTCCCTAGCATGATTCACACCAACTTTCCAGGGGAGAGCCTTCTGCTCCCCACAGCCTTGTCACCTGACCTCCTTTCAAACTCCCTTGAACTTTGACCTTAGGAAGGGGAATCCTGGGATGGGATCCTTGCAGACGCCCTAGAGTCTAGGGCCTAGACTGTGGGATGCACCGTGATCTTTTGTGCCACCAAGAAAGAAAAAGCACTGCCGGTCGGTCAGAACTGTGAGATGCAGCTCACTGGGGAACAAGCCTTGGTTTCAGAAACGTCACAATGTGAAAACACAGGCACCTTAGAAGCAATGAAACACAGCGTCTGAGCATCAAGGTCTGCTGGGTAGGCCAGGCCAGTACTCATGGCAGGATGGACATGTACAAAGGGGGACCGACCCCCAAATGACACTTGGCTTCCATTATTTAATTGCTGCCTTTTCTTTATGAGAAAAAAACACGACCACAAAGGCTCTAGGAGGACAGACCCTGGCTCGGCTGTGTTCACTGCGGTGTCCCCGTCATGTCATGCATAGTAGGTGCTCAACAAATATTTGCTGAATGAGAAAGTGAACAAAGCCACATTATACAACACGAGGAAAAACCCAGAAAAGAAAAGAAATCATTCATCATCGCCCCATTGTGGGTCTTTTGGCTTATTTCCCTTCAAGTCTTATTTCCTGTGAATGCGCTCTTTCATATACATGTAAACATAACGGATTATCAGATTTAGCCCCGGGATGTGCTTTTGTATTTCTCTATTAATATGAATGAAATGATCAAATGAGACGATGCGGAAATGCTTTGAAGACTGTAAGATGTTTAACGAAATATATTAGTATTAGTTATAATTATCATGGCAATATGGATCTGAATGAGGCTGATTTTCTGTGAATATACTTCAAAGCAAATAACAAATTTGCCCTGCGAAGCTGGGAATGTGTTTGCTCCCACCCACTGTGGGGAGTCCCTCTGCTTCAGACCAGGGAGGGGAAGCAATGGAAGGATTTGTGGCTCCACCTTCCCACCCAGCCCAGACATTTCCTTTTACTTATTTATCTATGTACTTATTATTTTTTAATGTATTAAATTGATTCAACATGAACATGTAGGTTTCCTGCATGGATTTCTACGTGACAAGATCTGTGTAGAGTAGGGGTGTCGAACTCAATCAGAGAAGGGGCCAAAATCTAAAATCCAGCCTAAATCTCGGGCCGAATGGTTTACTGAACAGTCATAAACTGTCATTGTGATGGAAACGCAGCGGAGTGCAGTGATGACAGCGTGGTGCGGGCCACATTGCAAGGCCTGGCGGGACGGATTTGGCCCGCGGGCCTTGTGTTTGACACATGTGGTCTAAGCCACACTGGGTCTCTGAAAGGAGGAGGGTTTGCTCATACGACACACAGAAGGCGGGACTGTCCCAGATTGTCTCCTGGACCAGACTCTGGCCTCAGGATTGGCTTACAACCATGGTCGGCAAACTGCGGCTCGCAAGCTACACGGGGCTCTTTGGCCCCTTGAGTGTGGCTCTTCCACAAAATACCACGGCCTGGGCGAGTCTATTTTGAAGAAGTGGTGTTAGAAGAAGTTTAAGTTTAAAAAATGTGGCTCTCAAAAGAAATTTCAATCGTTGTCCTGTTGATATTTGGCTCTGTTGACTAGTGAGTTTGCCGACCACTGGCCTACAAAGACCCGAACAAACACTACCATGGTCTCTGACAACCCAAAGCTACATCCTGAGGCTGAGCCTAACCCCCTGCCCCTCGGAGGCCCTGCCCCAGAAAACCCAAAGCTGCCCAAAGAACTGACTCTTTGTTCCTGCCAATCCCTGATGACGGGCCTCTGTCTCCCCGTGTGTACGGGAGGGTGGGGGCCTAACGTGGATGAGCGCCAGCCGGACACTCAGACGGGTTTCAGGTGGACCAACTGTCCTCCACACTCTCTGTAATGTGTCACTTCCCCGGCTGCCGTGGTCACCTCTGGACAAGTCGGAGTTGAGCTCCGTTCATGCCGAGCTCTCTTTCCTCGTGCATCGACTGTGCTAGTGGCTCAGGTCTGCCCTTGCCGCTTTGATGAGGGTCCAGCTTGTCAGTACTCGGAGGCGGGCTGGCACACCTCGGCTAATCGCTTGGTCTGGTGCATCCACACTGCCTGCCCATCTGCTCCCCTCGACTGCATTTTTACTCTTTTAAATGATTGTTGTTGTTATTAATCCTCATCCAAGGATATTTTTTCCCATTGATTTTTAGAGAGTAGATAGGAGGGAGTGAAGGAGGGGGCGGGGAGAGAGAGAGAGAGAGAGAGAGAGAGAGAGAGAGAAACATTGATGTGAGAGAGACACATTGATTGGTTGCCTCCCACACTTGCCGTGAGTGGGGTCAGGAATCGAACCTGCAACCCAGGTATGTGCCCTTGACTGTGAAGCAAACCCTCTGATGCATGGGGGCCATGCTCTAACCACTGAGCCCACTGGCCAGGACTCTCACTCTTTTAAAAAATTCTTTCAATTACTGTTGACAGCCAATATTATGTTAGTTTCAGATGTACAGCCTAGAGGTTAGACATTTGTATAACTTATGAAGCCATCACCCCCAATAAGCCTGGTACCCACCTGGCACCACACACAGTTATTACAACATCATTGACTGTATTCCCTACGCTGTACTTTACATCCCGAGACTATTTTTCTGACTCAAATCCTCAGCACTAAACCTGGTTCCCTGCTGTCTGGTTCCTGCCCTCCTCCTTTGTCCTTAATGGGGAGGTTTCCTGGGGACACAGCTCACTTTCCACCTTACGTACACCCTCACACACTCCGTTTCTGCTCCCACCACCTGTCTCAGTCCCTAGGCCTGGAAGGCCGGGCCAACCTCCCAGCCTCCTCTGCCTGGGTTTCAAAGCTCCCGCCCATCTGCTCAATGCTGCGGTGGAAGCTGGACTTGGCCTTCAGCAACTGCCCAGGCATTAAGTACTCCTGAGGCCTACACCACCAATTTCCCCCCAGAGATTCAGAACTACAGCTCGCTCCTATATTTAAACCCAGTTTCCGATACAGAATACTGTTTTATAAAACGGCTAACGAATTCCGGTCAGTACTAGATGAGAGACCACATTTGAGTCACATTTTGAAGACAAGCCGAACCTGTAAGTTCTACGTGCACCTCTTTGCTGATCACTCCTTCATGTTCTCCCGGATTCTCCCTTCCTGACTCGCGACAGCAGTGTCCCCACCACTCACCGCCCTCACGCCTTGCCCCAGGCCTCCCAGGGAGAACTGTCTCATCTGATCTGGTTTAGGACTTCCTTAGAGTCACAGGTTCTCCCGCTTTTATTGCCGGCACACCAGGGAGGAGAAAGAAAGAGTCCCCACTGAGAATTCGTGAACGCCTCCCTTCTAAGATGTGAAACCCATGTCAGGCACAAGGCGGGGCCAGTCCTCACTCCACTGACACGCAGGGTGGGTGCAGCAGTCTGGGTGCTGGGGAGGGGCCTTCCCCTGGCAATACATCGAGAGAGCAGGCAGGAGCCCATGCAAGAAGCTTCCTTCCACTTAATTCTATTACCAGAGTGACACCCCATTTCTTCGCCTTTGTGTAGGCAATTTGAATTATATTAACACAAGTGATACAACATATCAAATCCAGATTAGCAGTTTCTCAGAGAGTGTACTGTTCCCCCCACCCCTCTCCCAATATTCCCACCCCCTCCAGAATGGTTGGGTATAAAAAAAGAACCCCAACCAATTCAGTAAGAAAAGACAATAAGCCAGGTTTCCTTCGCACCCACTTTTGGGAACCGGCGTGTGGCACCTGAGAATTGGGTCACAAGGTTAGCAGACACCTTCTCCACTTTCAGGGGGAGTCCCTTTACCGAGCCCAACTGAGCTTCAGCCTCCTGGTGGATTCAGAACCTTCCAGAAGTGGGAATCCCATTTCTCCTCCTCCTCACCCCCTGCAGGCGGCCTGAGAGGCGAGGACCCCTGACGGAGTGAGCCCAGGGACTTACCCTTTGCTCCTGTGTGGCCACGAACGTCTGGAACCCTGGTGCCACCCCAAAACCCAGCTCTTGGATGAAAGGTGGCTCAGACTGACTGTGGATCTGAACTTTCACTCCTGCTTCAAACGTCGTTTCCTCTGGAAGCACAAAAAGGGACAGAGACGTGGGTCAGAGACAACAGATGCTGAGACTAAAATGCTCAAAGGGACACTGGAGAGGCCATGAGGTCGGCAGACTAAAAGCCCTCAAAGTTGACCCCCTCCTTATTCCTAGAAAACTGTCAATAGGTTACCTTCCCTGGCACAGGGACAGTGCAGATACAGCGAGTTAGGGATCTTGAGGTGGGGGGGATATCCGGGACTCTCCGTGGGTTCCAGTGTAATCACGGGGTCCTTGTAAGAGGGAGGCAGGAGGAGCAGAGTCAGAGAGAGAATGGGAACACTCTGTGCTACTGGCTCTGAGGGTGCAGGGAGGAGCCACAAGCCAAGGGATGCAGGCAGCGTCCAGAAGCTGGAAAAGGGAAGGGATTCTCCCTGGAGCCTCCAGAAGGAGCACAGCCCAGCCAACACCTAGATGCTAGCCTAGAGAAACCCCTTCTGACTTTCTGGCTTCCAGAACTGTCAGACAATACATTTTTGTTGTTTGAAGCCCAGAAATCTGCATTTCTGGAAATTGTGGTCTGGGTTGTTTGAGGTCAAACACATTTGGGCAAGCAGTGATCTAGTCCAGAGAGAGCAACTGACTCACCCAAGGTCACAGAGTAAGCACAGAGCAGAGCAGGGCTAGAAGCCTGGTCCCCTGACTTACTTACAATCCACCACTCTTTTATTTATTTATTTATTTATTTATTTAATTTTTAATTTTTTAAGGTTCTTTATTATTATTTTTTTAAAAATAAATCTTTATTGTTCAGATTATTACAGTTGTTCCTCTTTCCCCTGTCTCCCCCCCCCCCCAATAGCTCCCTTCCCCTGGATCCCACCCCACTCTCTGCCCTTACCCACCCTCCCCACTCTCCCCCCCACACTGTTCTCATCCATAGGTGTACGACTTTGTCCAGTCTCTTCCCACACTCCCCTCACCCCTTTCCCTCTTTTTTTTGTTCCTTGCGATGTGGTTTATTTCATGCCAGCAGATGCCCTGCTTCATGGCTCTGGGGTTCTGAATGAGGGCTGGAGACAGGGAACAGGCTTTCACTGTCATATTCCTTCCAGCCCAGCGCCTGGAGCAGAACAGAGGTCAGTCATGGCTGAATGCAGCAGATGAGTGAGGAAGTGTCCTCGGCTGAGTCTACTGTTTTCTGCCTTGGGACCAGCTGCGAGTCCGCTCAGGGTCTGACTGGACACTGGGGAACACCACGCCACATGCTGCCTACCAACAGGCTCCCTCCCATGTCCCGGCCTCAGGAGGTCTCACTTGCTGAGATGCAGATGGGCCGCTCACCGAACAACAGCAGCGGCGACAACAGCAGCAGTAGCTGGGACCACCCACACAACTTGTGGGTCCCTAGGCCAAATGAAAATGCGGGGCCCCTTCCTTAAACAGCACTGGGGGGTAAGACAGCCGTAGCAGAACATGAAACCCTTCTGAGCATGGGGACCTGTGACAATATGGGCCGCACATCAGGAAGCCAGCCCTGCAATCATCCGCTTGGCGCTGGACCGAAGTACTCACATTCTCACAGTTCTCTCCCCACTAAATGATTCAGCACGGAGCCGGCCCCAGTGCAGGGAAGGATTTGTTTACACATCAGGGATACCAGGACTCAAAGCCCCGGGGAGCGAGCGAGAGCCCGGAGAACGGGGAAGTTATTACACACACAGTGTTAGGGACCTGGTTAATTGGGACCAGGCTGACACCCAGACAGCTTAGCATGAAAGATGATGTTGAATCAGGGGGAGGGCAGTGCAGCTTGTTCAACCTGCAGAGGCTGGGTCTCCCTCATTTCTCAGGAGCGCAGCCACGGTGGCAGGAGGCGAGGTGTACCGTGTTTTCTGCTCATGCAGAGAGGAGAGGGCTCTGCGAGGGGAGGTGGGGAGAGGAAGCCCGACGGGCAGGATGCATAATGGGGCAGGGAAAGTACATGTACATCGCAATTAAAGCAGCTTAAATCTTTCATCTCTGCAAATTACAGGAAACACGCCGAGGAAATAAACACTGGAGAGAAGTGGGAAGGGAAGCTGCTCGGAAAATACGGAGAAATGTTCTAGGCTCGCGAGCCACATGCGGCTCTTTGGCCCCTTGAGTGTGGCTCTTCCACGAAATACCACTGCCTGGGCGAGTCTATTTGAAGAAGTGGCATTAGAAGAAGTTTATGGATGAAAAGATTTGGCTCTCAAAAGAAATTTCAATCATTGTCCTGTTGATATTTGGCTCTGTTGACTAATGAGTTTGCAGACCACTGTATCTAGGCTGAGGCGGGGTGGTGCCTGATACCGGGCAATTTCATGCCGGACGAGGCTGACTTTGTGACAGTGGCCGGGATGGCCAGCTTGGAAGAAGTGGGGAGGGAGGCCTGCCGTGTGGTGGTGGGGTTGTGGAGGTCCTCTATGCAGGATCGCTTCCGTCTGTCCTCTGGCCACTCATCTCCACTGTGCTCTCCCTGGAAGCCGCCCTGGCAGAGACTGTGCTGTTGGGCTCTCTCACCCTCTGCTTCTGGTTGGGTTCAGTCAATGGTGGTCCAGGTAGGGGACCAGAGTGTGTGTGTGTGTGTGTGTGTGTGTGTGAGAGAGAGAGAGAGAGAGAGAGAGAGAGAGAGAGAGAGAGAGAGAGAGAGAGAGAGAGAATAAAGGGCAGGCCCAGGCTTGGAGTCTATGACTCATGGATGCATAGCATTTTGGAGAGAGGAGAGCCTGTGACACTTTTTAAATTCAACTAACTTCTCATCTTTCAGGCGAGAACACTGAGGGTCACAGAGAAGACAGTGGCCACTGGCACATGACAAGTGGGGCTGAGCAGAGCCCAGGAGTCAGGTCTCTTGACCCCTGACCCTCCTTGCCCTTTGTCAGTTGGCTAGAAGAGGTGGTGGTCCCGAGGACAAGCCAATGAGGCTCCATGCTGGTTAGGGATGGAGGGGGAGGAGGAATTGAGTTTATAGTGGGCTTGGCAGCCTGTGCTCGCTCATCTCCAAGTTTAGGACACAGCTCACTGAGCATGAGGCAGCGACAATGATGGGGACCGAGGCCCCAGCCCCAGCCCTTGAGAGTTCTGGTAGGAAGGGTCTGCCACACGCTGCTCGGGTGGCCAAGGAAGGGTCCATCTTGGCCCCTCATGCTCCCTGGGCTCTTACAGAGAAAACCAAGCAGGCTAAGGTGCGGCCTGGGAGGAGGGCCGAGGGAATACGGGCTCTGAGATCACAGCTCTGGTTTGGTTCACAGCCCACTGCTTCGCAGCTGTGTGACTTCGGATACACTGCATTGCCTCTCTGTCGTCTTTGCCAAAATGAAGGCGCGCTCTCTTTGTCTGTTTTCAGCTCTAACTTTCTGTGATCTGGGATCATGCACCGGTCACCGAACCTCACTGCCTCCCATTGGAATTTCCTGAAAAAGGGATTTCTGAACAAAAGACATGCTGGTCAGCACTCACATCAATTCAGAAGAGGCTGGATTTTCTAACAACCACCAAAGAATCCACACAGCGCTGCCTGGCTCAAACTGGGTGGTGTGTATCTTAATCTCCCTGTCCGCCCCTCCCCTGGCAGACAGGCCCTGCTGAGCAGCATGCCTAGGTAAGAACATCCGAACCCGGCGCAGAGATGGGCACGCTCACGCTTGATTGCCCACAGGTGCCATTTAGATGCCAGGAGAGCTTCTGGAAGAAATAAAATCAACATCGTGTCCCCATGCTGGATACGATGCAATTATGTCTGTTCCGGGCAGCATCTCGGTGTAGCTGAGTGTTCGCACCAACAGCTCCTGATCCAGATGTTATCAAATGGCTACGGAAGTTGGGTGAGGGTGCAAACCCCAGCCCCTCCTGCAGAGCCTCAAGGCACACTGGCATTTTAAAGGCCCTAGGACACGCTGCAGCAAAAACATGCTACCCTCTGTTACACTAAGTGCTGCCCAAGGCAACCCTTTCCTTTTATTTAAATTTTCCTTAAAATATATATATTTTTTATTGATTTCAGAGAGGGATATCTATCTATCTATATCTATATCTATATCTATCTATCTATCTATCTATCTATCTATCTATCTAGTAATAATAGTAATATCAATAGTGAGAGAGGATTGTTGTACCGAGATTCCGTGAGATTCTGTGTTCCCCAAAGACTAGCAGGGAACCAAGTCCGATGCAATTGATGCAATTAACAAGAGAGCCTCTTCCATGTTAACATGGGCTCTGTCCCACACACGCTGACCGCATGGCAGATGAGAGCGTGAACTTCGCCAAGCCCAGGGGTTTTACACCGTGGTGATGTCATTGCTTTGGCTGACTCTGATTGGTTGGGTGAGGGCTAGGGTCCAGTTACACAAAATAGAGGATAACTCCGCCCTGCCCCACAGTGGAGTCCGGAGTTTATCCTCACCCTGCCCTGACCTCTCAAGGATCATTGATTGGCTGCCTCCTGCAGGCCCCCTACTGGGGATCGAGCTCACAACCCAGGCATGTGCCCTGACTGGGAATCAAACTGTGACCTCCTGGTTCAAAGGTTGATGCTCAACCACGGGGGCTGGACTCTGTTTTAATTTTTAAGCAACACTAGCTCTTGGTGGAAACTCATTAGTCAACAGAGCCAAATATCAACAGTACGACGACTGAAATTTCTTTTGAGAGCCAAAATTTTTAAATTTAAACTATATAGGCAGGTACATTGTTATTAACTTAATTAGGGTACTCCTAAGCTGCCTTTGCTAAACACTCAAGGGGCCAAAGAGCTGCGTGTGGCTCGCGAGCTGTAGTTTGCCGACCACTGGTAATCTGTTGAATGAAGAACTGCTCTGTCTATGTCCTAAGAGTATATGTAGAAGATAGAATGCAGGTGAAGCACCTTCTATACTTCAGAATGATGTACCGGGTTGGGGAAGGGGTCAGTTGATGTCAGGACTTAGCTATGCAACAGAGAAGAGTGGCTACATGTAGCACACGCCTCTCAAATGTAATATTTATAAAACATACATCAGTGAAGGCAACC